ATGTAGTACACAAACAAATATTTTATTAAACTGCATCCATATAGGAATTGATAATAAATTCATTCAATTAAATAAATATCTAATGTATCGAATGAATGAATACCTTATGCGAATGTGGATGTGAATGCAAAAGTGGATGCAGATTTAAAGGTACACAAAATTATTTATAGTACAAGTAATTTTTGTATATATTTATATTGTTTTATTTATATTCTTATTATTTTTTATTTTATTTTTTCAAAATATTGCTCTTTTTAATATTTGCTTTTTTACATATATTTGTTGAAATCATCAATTTGAAATATACTCACTACTTATTAAACCAAAACAAAGTGGAAACGATTCGTTACAAAAACTCGTGACTGAAAATTTATTGTAGTCACGATTAGTACTTGGCTCTCGAAATTATAAATAGGGGAAAAAGAAACATTAATGCAAATATCGATCATCTCTATTAAATAACCCATACTTAACAAATGTATGGTTGACTTTTGTAGCAGCTGGTGGCTCGAAAATTTGTTGTGTTACAAGTTTATAGCCAATTGAGAGGTGTTTATTAATATAAAATATTTATGTACAAATGGTTACCCTGTAATCACAGTGATTTTTTTGTTGTTTCTTTAGATCGAGTATTTGCAGTGACATTTGATATTTACTGCGGTTTTACTATTGATTTTAAACAAAATTGAAACCTAAAATACATATATACTCACATATATGAGGAACCATCCGTAAATAATGAACTCTCAAGGACAGGGACAAACGCAGCAGCATACTTCAACACATTCCCTACTGCAGCAGCAAAATCATTTACCTAACAACAATGTAGTTGGAAAATCTATTGAACACCAATCTCTATCTACTGTCGGTAAGAATAATTGCAAATGTTTTAACTTTACCAAAAAACATATCAAATAACTTTTAAGTACCCTCATGCACCCATCTCATACGTATTTAAGCAGACACTTAAATATGTAATGGAAAATTTCAGAGATGTGTATATGTATGTACACCGAACGTGCGATGTGTAGGTGTATTAGTGTGTGAAATAGGTAGGCTTTGTAAACGTGATAAACTTTGTATAAGCCTTTAACTGTCAAATTGATTAGGAAATGTCGACTTTTATTTTTACAATACAGAAATAGTATCCATTGATTTTTATATTAGCTTAACATTCGATAAATTATCTTTAGCATTTTTATGCAAACATAATTTTTGGCAATTCATCAAAAACTTCTCAACTGTTAAAACGTTCATTAGAACGCATAACTAACGGATAAGTCTAACAGTAAATGCTACAAACGCTGAATGTATAAGCGTCTATATAAAGGAAATCTTATTAAACAGGACATAACTTAAAGAAGTAGTGCGGCACAGCAAGCAAGAAGAAGCTTAGTCATCCGCAACGAAACTAATAAAACCATTGTGTGATCTAAGTGGAAAACTTTATATAAAAAGAAATTAAATTATTAACAATCTTCAGTGAAATGCAAGTTTATATAAACTGTAAGCAACTGGATAAACAACAGTAACGCATTTGCAGCATAAACTGTAGAGTAAACTCCAAGTGTGTTTGATATCTATATCTGTTTTTGTATACACTCAGAACGCTGAAAGCAGAAGCTTTGCAGAATGATTGAAAAGTGCTTTTAGTCTGATAAAATAGTTCTGTTAATTAGTCATTAGTCAATATAGTTGTTAGTCAACTTGTTAGTCAAGTGGGCATTTAATCAATATGTGCACTGTAATCCATTGCAATGCTTTTAATACATAATGATTTTTTTTCATTTAAGGTTTGTTGGAGTTGGCGCATCGGGAGTACCAAGCTGTCGACTATGAAAACGCAGAAAGGCATTGCATGCAGCTATGGCGACAAGATAGCACTAACACTGGCGTCTTGTTGCTGTTGTCATCAATTCATTTCCAGTGCCGAAGGCTTGATAAATCCGCGCAGTTCTCCACATTGGCTATAAAGCAAAATCCCGTGCTGGCCGAGGCGTACAGGTGAGCCACAATTTTATAATACGATTGTTTTGTATTAATTTTTTACTTGAATTCCAATTCCAATTACAGTAACTTGGGAAATGTTTATAAAGAACGAGGACAACTGCAAGAAGCGTTGGACAATTATCGCCGAGCTGTGCGCTTGAAGCCCGACTTTATAGACGGATATATAAACTTGGCTGCTGCGTTGGTAGCTGCGCGGGATATGGAGTCAGCCGTTCAGGCCTATATAACAGCCTTGCAATACAATCCCGTAATTTAATTTGTCACTTTTTCACAACTATAAATAATTATAAACAATATTCATGTAGGATTTGTACTGCGTGCGCAGCGACTTGGGAAATCTTTTGAAGGCTCTTGGTCGTTTGGAGGAAGCTAAGGTAATATTTTGCTAATATTTTGCCCAATATCCAAATCTTAATTATTTCTTTAACATCATCACAGGCCTGTTATTTGAAAGCGATAGAAACATGTCCAGGTTTCGCTGTGGCATGGAGCAATTTGGGCTGCGTTTTTAATGCCCAAGGCGAGATTTGGCTGGCCATTCACCATTTCGAGAAAGCTGTCACCCTTGATCCGAATTTCTTAGACGCGTATATTAATTTAGGAAATGTACTAAAGGAGGCCAGAATTTTTGACAGGTT